AAACCAATATACTAAAAGAAAAACCGAAAGTTACGTGTTCAGTGGCTTTGGGGTTAGCATTTCTCTCGGCTGAGAATGAAAATAGACAACTGGAAGATTTGTCACTAATCGATTTTGGCCGTTTATCTGAGAGACTTCTTTCGGTAAGGACAAAGTCAATAAATAAGAATTTTTTCAATTGAAAATTACGACCATTTTGTTTTTGTAATCGTGATTCAACGCATTTTTCCATCCTAAGAGTTAGTGCCAGCGGACTCTACGATTGTTATTCGGGGATTGTCGATTCATTTATTTTCATTCATCAATGAAGTCGGCTGAAGTGTAAAATTTGACTTTTCTAAAACAGTGCTCAATACATAGGAGTAGAGCGATGTCTATATTGTGGGAGGAAAAAGACAAATAAAATACAAGTTCATCCCTACAGGTGTGTTTCGTGGTTGCCCACTCATCAGGGGAAATCCCCTGATGAGTACGCAACTAAACTGTTAAACTGTTAAACTTCGCGCTGCATAAATGAGATTATATTGTATATAAGCGATGGTAAAGATTATTTTCATTAAATCTCCTGATGAGTGGACAACCACGAAACAGACCTGTAGGGATGAACTTGTAGTTTATTTGTCTATTTCCTCCCACAATATATATGCTTTCCTCTACAGATTGATGTTTTGGAATGCATTGGGAAACACCCCGAAAGTCGAGAAATCAAACTTAGATGGAACTCAACGTTTTGCTATGGTAACGTCAAATCTTACTTGGCCAAGTGGTATCACTCTTGATCGACGAAACAAACTTGTTTACTGGGTGGACGAGTTCAGAGGCGCAATTGAATCTGTTGATTACAATGGGAACAACAGAACTTTACTCTTTCAGCAAAATGGTTTAAACTTCTATTCAGTTTCCTTCATCTCTCCTTATTTATTCATCACTGGGTGGAGCAGAAATTGGATTTACAAATTTGATGTCTTCAATGGAACTGTTGTAAGCGTTATATCATTGTCCCGCGGAGGAGCTTATGGACTCGTGGCATATGACAGCTACCGGCAGACATGGGGTTTGTAAAACAATAGCAAAACTTAAGAGTGATTCATGTGTATAGAGAGGAAGGGGGCATGGATAGGTATTACCTGATTGAGAACTTTTGAGTGTGACATAAGAGCTAATGTTTTGTACATAGAAGGCAGCCTGAAGTTTAATGTCTGCCGACATTTTTTTAACTCTCTAGTCTGTGGGGATTTCAGTTGCTTAAATGGCAAAGTGCCTGAAAAGATACATGCTGTACTTCAAAATTTTCTCGGAACAATATTTTAAGAATGTGTCCGTTTTACATTCCTTTGTTTCAGTTAATGATATGATAAAAGGACGAAGGTCAAGAAAAAGAGAAACAATTTTTTTAGACCAGAAAAATTTGCACCAGCTTAAGCAGTAATTTGAAATGAAATTTCTTAAAAGATCTTAGAGAACTCGTAATTAACACATCGCATCCAATTTTATTTTTGTACCTGTTTTAGCTGTCACGTGCCCGTTACCTATCAATGCTGTGCTCTTAGGATGCAAAACTGGTGAAACAGAGATTATAAATGGCACAGAATGCAGGTTCTCTTGTAAAGAAGAATCCAAGGTGGCCGGTTCAACAGCAAGAAGATGTATCAAAGATGGAAAGTGGAGTGGGGCAGAATTGGCCTGTACAGGTATTAGAACAACAAACATTCGGCATGAAAATGAAAAAGAGTCAGACGTTATTCCTGAGGTTTGGTTTCTTAATCGATGGATGATCTTGGATTACGAATCAATTCACGATCGTCATTTATCTCTGTATATCTTGCAATGATTTTAAATTAAGATCGTCTTGATCAATTGATGCAAAATTGAAAAATTAAATCGATGCAGGATCATCAGTGGTCTTCTCAGTTTGCAATAACTGTAGATTACGAAAATCCATCCAGCATCGTTGCAAAATTCTCTTAGTTCTGGTTACGTGGTCATACGTGTGTGCATTGATCTTTCAATGTGCGGAAGAATACAATACCTTGACGATCTTTAACCACCAACTGGTACAGAGTCGTCAAAGGTCTTTTCATACTTTGCAATGACGGTATATTATGACAGTCGATCTACCAGCGTTGCAGAATTCATCTTTCCGGCTAAACCGCTTGTCTTGTGCATCTTTGCATTTATCTGCCGATGTACGATAGAATTAAACGCCTTGACCATCTTGAATCAGCAATTGATCAAGTTGTCAAAAGTCTTTTTGTGGTTTGCAATGACTGTAGATTGTGATATTCGATCTAACATCATTGCAGCATTGAATCTTCTGGTTACGTGGTCTATCTAATGCATCTGTTCATTACCTTACGATGCAAGATTGAATTAAAAGAAACCCGACGATCTTGAATCACTAATCGATACAGGATCGTTAAAAGTCTTTTTGAGGTGCTTAGTGATTGTAGATCACGATAGTCGATCCAACATAGCTGCAGCTCTCTTCTAGGGTCCTTTAAAGTCAGACACAAGCAGTTAAGCATGGATTAATCGATTACCATTGCAGAATCGCAACCTTGTCTGTGTGTGTAACTGACAATACACTTGCATTTTACAATATTTAGTCTAGTGAATGATAGTGATACTGACTGTAACAAGTGATGCTTTCACTTAAGGAGTACTAATTTTCTGTTCAGCTTATTTCTCCAAGGCTTAAAGGGTCTCATTGCGATATTGCTGTAGACAGGGACAGCTTGAAACTTCATGTACAATCTGACGCAAACACCAAAAAAAAATTGATTGGGAAAATTGAAACCAAGCTCAATGCTGACCTTCAGTAAAGAGCCATGGCCCTTGACAAAAATAATTAAAGGTGGGAAATTCGTATGACTGAGGTAAGAACCATTTTGTTTTGTTCAAAGTGATTGGTATCTTGTGATCAGTTACTTTTGATTCAATTTATTGCATTTTTGTCATGTTCATCGGAGAAAAGGTAACTCTGTGTTTAATAGTATGACCGTCCAGTCCAAAAAAGATTATATCACAATGAATGTAAAGCTTTTGCCTGCCTTTTCTTGTGCACCATTTTTGAATAACTTATCATTAATCTGGAAGTTAAAAAAATTATCGACAAATCGCCATTAAAAATTTTTTTGAAACTCTGTTTTGTCTAAACAAAGGAGTATCTCTAGAAACGCCAGTTTTTAGAATTCTGCTTTCCTTTCTATCTTTTTTCACATCTAGTCAGTAGAAGACAAATTTTTTAACTTGCCCGTTGATACCAGGAGGTGTTTCTTCAAACAATATTGACTCTGTCATGAAAGAAGCCCGTTGCTCGAAAATGCAATACAGTTGAGACTTTCTACCAATCAAGTTTTTCATGTGTTTCTATAGAAACCCTTGCTTCTTGCTACTGCAAAATGTACCCTGAACCGACGATCGAACAACGCGCGTGGCTAGTAACAGTTCAGGCTTAAATGGGGTAAGATTGGCCCATCATATCTTCTAAGCCAGCACGGTGACCTATCTTTTTTTATTGTATTTCTCGAAACAGAGATCGGTGAGGTACAAGTTATTTAAGGAAAGTCGCAAAAACATAGTTCGATAACTTTTATTGTGAGGAATCCCCTTAACTGATAACGCTTTACTGGTATCGGTAACTCTATCGAGCGAACAAAGACCAGCACGTGCCACAATAATCTCAGATGTGTTATTTTAATTCAATAGAACAATTAAGAACACATTATCTGTGCCCGTTGCTCTTCATTTCATCACGTGACCTAAAAGTCACCTGACCCAGATCCAGATCCCCCGTCGGTTGGCAGACATTTTCCCCAGACTGTGCTAGTGGTGGTTTGTTCACATGCATATCCAGGCACACAAGGACATTCGCGAACAGATTGCTGTGAAAACAGGGTAAAA